ACTATCATATTATTTTTCTAAACAAAAACACACACACACACACACGTACCCATTGCCTCAGGTGGTAATCAGGAAGTTACACTGTGCACAAATTAGGAAATAAACATTTTATTGTGTTACAAACAGTAAAAGATAAAAGATGTACATTCATAAAGCCATGAAATTATTATGGTATTTAGAAACAAAATGAAAAAAGTGGGAAAGGATTCAAAATCCTATTTGGAAACAGCTACAAAGAAAAGACAACTGCAACTTGAAGCCAAAGTTGTTGCCCTTGTTGCCTCTCAGAGAGCAGAGGGCACTATGTCCATTCTGTCTCAGCATGTTTTTGTTGTTCTGTTCCAAGGCTCTGGAGCAGTGGGAGTATATCAGAAAGACATGTGCACAAACACAAACTGAAAAAAATAAATAATAATGCATCTAAAAAGAATATATGTCACTAAATGATTATCTTAGTGGAAGACATGATCAAAATAAATAAAGGATTACATTCATTAAAACAGACTTAATGTAACAATTCAAAACTAATCAAGAAGGCTTGAAATGTAAACACTCTTAGGAAACAAATGTAAAATAAAAGGTGGAACCTTCTTTTAGCTGTAATAAAACAAATCACATAAAAATGAAGTTTTTCTCTCGTATTCTTTAAGACTGTCTTTAATTCTTTGAAGTCTTCTCCAACACCCAGTCAATGACCTAGAACAAGAAAACATTTAGGTTTAGAAGGACTACAAAGCCAAGCTGAGAACCATTGGTGTCTGGTGGTGTTTCCTGTTTAACGTTGCTGCTGGCTGCCTTCTTCATCTCATACAGACCACGAGATGTCTTCAGATCCTGGGATCAAACAACAGAAGAGGAGATCACTCTGACTGACAGAGTGCGGTAAACTCAAGTGGGCTTTACATCATACAAATCAGATATTTTAGGCCAAAGTTGAACACATTTGAAGTGGGGAGAGGATATTGGTAGAACAGAGTAGAGAAAAAAAACAAAGTGTAACATGTACTCAAATATCTATCAAATATTCTTGAGCATTTTCAGCTACTTTATCCTGCAATACATTTCAGAGGGAAATGAATACATACAAACTATACAGTGAGTTGTATTAGATTAAACTACATATTTGTCCATAATCAAACACTTGAAACAGGCCAGTGATGCGTCACAGGAATAAATGATATGCAGACAAAATGAAGTCAACTGTCCATCAAGAAATATGTTTTTCTTCAGTGTGGTATCCATTGTCCTATAAACCTGAGGTGCCTGCAGTGATGCCAAATACTTACAAAAAGAAAAATAGCAATGAAAAATACCATACACAAAAACTAAAATCTAGGATAAATCAAACACTCAAAAGAAACTAAATATATAGCTTCGACACTACCCAACAGTATATGAAGTAGATCGAAGTAGCTTTCTTCCAGCACTGTTGGCAATAGTTTTTCCTCAGTGTTTATATTCTATCAAACAAAAACACCTAATCACACTTTACAAGGAGCCACAAAAGAAAATAGATGGAAATGTGTGTTTTTGGCAAAAATATCAGAAATGGATGTCTTCAAACTGCTCCCATTATTGTTGGAATGCTGTTAAGCAGAAACCGTTCAACTATCAAAATGTTCAGCTCTTTCAGGAGAGGGGTGAAATGACTTTTCATAATTGTAATCTTTAAACTTTTTGAATTATTAAGCTTTTTGCCAATTTTCTTTTGAAAGGGATCTCTATGGAGAAAATCTTCAAATCCTGTTAAACATCTTCAACTTTCAAAGCCTTCTTCTTCTCATACTTTCAGCTACAGACACCATAGTGAGACATTTCAACTAGAAGGGTTTTCAGCAGTGCAGTTTAAATGCTTTTGGGCTTCGACATTTTTCAGACGGGTAGTCTCCTATTTCTGTATTTTCAGCAATTGTTTTGCAATAAATTTCAGCTTTCAGCATTCCAACGCATTTTCAGCAGGAAATGCATTTTCTAGTTCTTGTATACTAGTCTTCACTACATGGTCGGTTCAACATCAAAATGGATGCACATACGATTCTGTTAAGTCTTCATTGGGTGTCTGGGTTCATGGATGTGTTCACACGTGTGTCCCGACCCTTGCAGATATGGGCATGAACTATGATTTGTGCTTAAGGATTGCAATCACTTTTACGCAGTAGTGAAGATGATTGAGGGTTCGACATTTGCTCTCTATGCTGCTGAGTAGATATTCACCGTGTGCCCCAGGAGATGTGTTGGCCAAACCTCTGTACCAGAGGGTCATTGGACAGGTTTAGCATAGCGGGTGCCACCGTGTGGCGCTCACTGTCAGCTATCTTCTGATACCTCGCCTGCTGCCCCAGATTTACATGACAGCTTAAAGGTGCATGAGTGATGCTGACATTCAGGGCAGGCACTGTTGATTGTGATCAAGTGATCCGTACCTGTTCAGACAGGAAATGTCTTAGTTAAGTCTTCGTGTGTTGAATGCGTCAGCTTTTAGATATTTAAATCAATCTATTTAGAATATAAAAATAAAAAAAAGTTTTCATTTGGAGCAGGAAACTCTTGAATTAAACGGGTCCCACAGGATTCTTTCCATTTCCTTTTATAACTCCAGAAGATTGATTGATTCTTTAGGCTGTGTGCCTCAGACCAGCTCAAACCACCACACGGTGTACATCATGTACCTCTTTATTATCCAAAAGGTTACACTTTGAACACCCTTTTTTAAAAGGTCCTGACAATATTTGTGAGGATTAAGACATTGATACAATCCAACATGTTTTCACAATGTTCAAACATGACTAAAATGAAGAGCTATGGTCTGTAACACAAACTAAATATTAAATATATAAGAAAACATGAAGTGTGTTTTACCTCCTCTGTAGTGGAATTATTCAGGTCACACACACATTTATTTTCCTGTTTAACCAAATCAGCAAACCAGTGTGTGGCACGGGACTTCTGAGAGGCAAATATAACAGATACAATAAATGATCTATCTACATACCATCATTTTCTTTTTCAATTGTGAAAACAGGTGAAATCTTTTGTGTTTGTTGTTGTAATACCCATTCTGGCCACAAGAGGCCCACATGCACCACTACCCCATGATCTAAATAGGACTAAAAGCATTCATGTTTTCTTTTTTCATTTCTCCATGCACTCTAGACACGAGCTACATATATTTAGGTGTTAGTAAGTTAAAACTCACCTGGAAGAAAGCATGAATGCTTTTACTCCTGTTTAGAACACAGAGTAGTGGCCTGGTGCACTTCAGACTCTTGTTTTTTCATAGATGACACAAATTGTCCTGGCAAAAAGAACTTTTCACCTGGCAACTTTTTTTCTTCAGCTATCCACGCCAACGATTTGGATCAGACTTGGGATGGATCACTGACGTTCTTTACTCACTTGCCCCCTTTTTTGCCTCCAGTCTATGTGTGTTTTGTGGACTTGGGGAAGGCTTATGACCAAGGCTCGGGAGGCCTGTGGGGGTTACTGTGGGAGTATGGGGGTCGTTGCGATGAGCCATCTGATCTTGTATCACCAAAGTGTGGGCTAATTCTGTGTAATCAACACAAAGTCAAACGTGTTTTCTGTGGGGGCTTGGCCTCCAGTGTTACAGGGAGTAGAGCCTCTGCTCTTTTGCGTCAAAACGGGGGCTAGCTTTGGTGGTTTCGGCATCAGGATTCCTCCTGGACGCATCTCTTCAGACTTTTTCTCGGCAAGTCCAACTGGTAAGAGTCCCCAGGGTAGACCGAGAACACACTAGAGGGACTATATATTTCTTCTGGCCTGGGACAAGGAAGAGCTGGAAAGTTTTGCAGGGGAGAGGGACATGTGAAATACCCTGCTAAGCTTGCTGCCACTGCGACTTGTACCGGATAAGTGGAAAGAAAATAGATGGAGGGCCTGTGCTTCCATACCGTTGAGACAAACCACTCATACAAAAAACTGTTTCTACTGTGGCCACATTCCCCATAAAAGCATTTAAAGGACAGACCTCAAATGCTTTCAGTGTAGGCCAATTCACTGTATCTTGTTGATGATGCAGCAATAATGTTGAGAGCAGATGAAACCCTCTTGCTGTGCCTGACAATGGTAGGCTTGTCTTGCTAATTGGCTAAGTACACTGACAGCATTGAGTGTACGTATAGATGAGATTTAAACTCATTAAGCAGGCTCTGTTTCTGATCATAAGTGGCATATAGACATGAAGATCTTTATTCATATCACCAGATGCTATCTCAAGGTAAACGTCCACACACCTGTTGCCCGTGTTGATGAAGGGAAACTTTCTTTTCTATTTCTAGGTTTGCTCTTGTGAGGGAATGTTTACATTTGTGGTTAACTATTTATTCTTTACAAACTATATACCAGAAATTCTGTGTATCCCTTTAATCTTCCTCCTCACTTCTATTCACCAACAGTCACCACAACCAGCAGCATTAGTAAACACACCAATGAGATTTATTTTGTTGGGATTTTACATTCCACAGTTCAACATTTCCTTTTTTTCTCATATTTTTATATGTTCAGTCAACAGACACATCACTGATGTTAAAGGTTGATGGATCACTCATGTTTTTACCATCCGTCCACAATGGAAGTTTTAGTATCTCTGTCATAAAACCCCTTCAGCTCTGGTCTGTGTTTCTTCATCGGTTAGCTGAAGTTAGTGCGTTTACAGCAGGAAGTGAGTCCTGCTGTTTGGGTGAGTCCTGGTCCAATCCGTCTGTCTGAGCTGTCTCTGGGATGTCCACGCCTGTGCTTCCCTGCTAACTCAGCGTTTATGAGTTCTGACTTTCAATCTGACTTCATGCTGAACGTATAGGGTCCCATACAGGTTTGGGGCATATTGTTACTTAAAGCTCCAGTCTTGGGTCAGGTTTCAAATGTGATTTAGAAACATTTAGAGACATTTCTCTCTTTCAATTGAGTATTGACAATTGATTCACTCATTCTTATGAAATGTTATATATATATATATATATATATATATATATATATATATATATATATACACACACACAGCACTGTCACATCAAGATTGTGGAGATCAGACAAAAACAGTACCTTAAAATGTTCTTTTTTCCCCAAAACCTGTAGCATATTAGTCTTGGGTCAAGTCAAGTTTGGGTCTAAACTGTGTCAGTCAGGCTTAATCAGGGCAGACCTCTCTCCCTCTGTGTTTTGTGATACTCATCTTTACTGTTATCAGATATCTCAGCAAAGGGCTTTAGAACTGTTGATGACTTTATTATTATATAAAATGATGTTGTTGTATAAATGTGTTGGATAATCGACACAGTTTATTATCTGTCACTTATGCTCTGGTCTTGTCTAAGAAGCTTGTTTGAAGGCTCAGAGGAATGGCTCTATGATGACTGGCTTGGGTAGAACATGATCCCCAGATATTGAGAAATTGAAGCTCTGATCGTCAGTTGTCCCCAGATAACAATGACATCATTGTTAAAAACACACTCAGTTATATCTCCTCCCCCTGCTGGTCTCTGGTTGGGTATCGCTGGATGTCAAAGGGTGAGTGGTTTTCATTGAAGGTGCAATTGTTATGATAATGTCCCTGGCCTCACCCGCCTTACTCCTCCCCGGCTCCACCCTCTTATCCAAATATAGTGACTTCCAGTTCGGAAATAAAGTGTTAATAGCTTGAAGGCTCGGTGAAAGGGCAGAATTCGCTAATCGTTTAAATATGTCGACAGTCTTGTTACATCAAAAGCTAAAGAGCTTGAAGTAGGTGTGAATGTCGGGTTTTGGAAAGTTACAGGAACGGTCAGACACCAGCCTCCCAGTTTCAACATTAGAAATGTGTGGAGGGTGTTTCTGATGTCTGACCATCTGACAAGCAGTTGGGATGAAGCATACTGGCAGTCGTGTTGAGATGGTTACCCACGAGTTTCTAAAATGTGCAAAAACTCTTGTGAGGCTTGTTGATCGCCTAACCTCAACCATTCAAGGTCAATGCCTAATCTCAACCATGTTGCAAGAGCTCTACAAACGTATGGGTTAACATCTAGACACAACCCATACTGGCACTTTATGCATCGTCCACTGGACTGAATCTTGACCGGAAATATTTGGAACAAAGGCATTTTCTGACAGTTGTTCCTGAACACACGCCACTGGTCTGCAAGACTGCTGCTGACTTGCTTGCCAGTCCCCAGATCCAAAAAAAGGTTGAGACTCCCAAATCTAATCCAGAATCTTTACAAGCCACAGAGAGCACATCCAGATTTCTCTTTCCAGGACGAGGGCCTGTATAAAAGGACCCAAATTGTAATTAGCAGGAATTATTCTTGGACAGATCCCAGTTCAGGTTTTGTTTTTGGATCAGCTATACTGTGGTTTTCAATAGATCTTTTTTTCACATGGAGACTGCAAAACAGCCCCTCGACTCACACACACACTCACACACATTTACCTCTATGACTAGAACAGAAAGAGATCAAACAAACACTTGCTCTGAACGCACACTCAGTCGACATGAAAGGTTCAGTAAAAAGGAAAATGAAAGAGGGATGCATGTATAAAATGTTAAATGCCAGATGGGATCATCAGACAGAATGAAATGCACCTACACCAGAATGAAAATGGTCCAACATAAAAGTTCCTGGTTGTCACTTCTGTGGAATATTCTGTACAATAATGTACAGTGGAGGTCCTGGATCTCCTCACTGCCCGCATGTCCCACTCTGAAGCTGGAGTACTGAAAGTCAACAGATGGCCACAAAACATGATCCAAGCCCAGTAAGTTACATGGTTTCACATCTGGTCCATTCCCTTGTGAATTATCCCACAGGAGGCTCCAAGAGACCAAGTCCGTGAGAAACGAAATATTAACAATCTGACTGTTTCCCTCCAAAACTGCTGAGTCATAGAGTTCTCCACAATCACAGTAGACTAGTTAATAGAAGAAATTGTTAGTCTGAGAACGTTTGTCCATCTCCTTTAGAGGTTTAGAGCACCTCTTGGTGGAACCAATACAAAATGTCTTCAGTGTCTTGAAGTATTACCTTCGAAACCTTCCTTTCTTCAAGATTCCACAACAACAAAACAAGCATAACTTCATATTTTTGATAATATTTCTTTAGTTCTTCAGTTTTGTTTTTTTTTCAAGATAGCAGATCATCAAGACACCCATTTTTAAACACACACACAAATATAAAATCTGTATCCAGGAGAGACTGGCGATGAGCAAACGGATGGAAACAAGGAACAGTTTTTCTGCTTGTTTGTTGTCAATCTGTGGTTTCAGTTGGTCTTTAACAGATGCCAGCTTTAGCAGACAGTGCCGTTCTCCTGTCGGGACTTGGGGCAGGTGGATTGGGTTATCGGCTGGACAGAGGGAGCCAGGGTGCAGAAGAAGCCAGCGATGAGGGTGAGGCCGAGGCCTCCCCAGGCGCAGAACATGGACCAGCCATAGCCGTGGCCGATGTCATCAGTTAGGCCGAATAGGTCCCGAGGGTAACGGGAAAGCTCAAAGTTGATGCCGGCAACACAGGTGCATAGGGAGATGATGCAGAAGGTTCCTGCAAAAATAGAACAGGGTGTTGAAGGAGAAAAATACATCAAACCTGTCAATGAAATTTAAATCTGACACAACCTTCTCGTCATCCGGTGCCTGGTCACATCCTGCCATGCGAGGACATTCTAATACTCCTAAGAGTTCATAAAGAGGAGGTCAGCCACAGAACTTTGACAGCACATTAAGGCTGCTGAAACACTTGGTTACAGTTAGGGAAGGTTTTGGTTCATTACGAAATATGCCAGCTTGTGTTTTCAAGTCAGCGTTGACCTCTTCCATATGTAACCAATACAACCATCTTCCCCTAACCTTACAGGGCACATCAGTTGGTGTTTTGAGGTTTTATATTATTCTGTAGCTTCCCAGTGGTGTTTCATATGTATTCAAATCAGAACATTCAAATTGTAGTCAAACTCACCGAGAATGACACTGTACTGTGTTGCCCCTCTGAAGACAAAGGAAGTTAGCTTCATTGTATAGCCCTAAAACACGCAAATTGAAGGACACATCACAAAAACTATTGTGGAGGATCTTGTGTTCTACCAATGTGGAAGAATTTCGGTCACACAGTGGTAAGATAGTCCATAGTCTATAGATAGTCTTACTATAAAATAATGCAAGGCCCTCTATAATGCCAGAGCAGCCTATTACTCATCATTAATAGAGACAAATAATAAGAACCCAAGCTTTCCTTCCAGCGCTGGAGCCAGGCTGACAGAGTCACAGCTCTATTGAGCCACGTATTCCAATAGGCCTCAGTAGTTGAAGATGAAAAGCCTGTCATCATAGATACAAATGGAGACAGGGGCACACACTATCAGATATTCTCACCTTGCAGGTCTTCATGGTGTTGCACTAGTCAGTTCACGTGAGAAAAGAGTTCGAGACCAAAGTTTAATCAAAGTTACAGAAAATGTTCCTTTTGTCTTGGCAGTGACCAAAACAAAATATTCACTCACTATGTTGGTCAAGATGTAACCCTGATAGCATTACATTTCTCAGTTAAGTGTGCTATTGTTTGTACTGATAATTCAACCATTGAAGTTCCAGGTCCATCAGGTTTTGGATCCATGCTCTACTAGACCATCACCTCATGTGGTCTCTGCATTCAAAGGACAGGACTTTTACTTCCTGGCTGCGTGTCGTTGGTAGAGAAATGTGTCTCTCTGCTTCCTCTGCTGGATCTCTCGATGGGCAATCTTTGAATGAAACAGTGATTCCTGAACCATTACCACGACATTAAGTATGGGCAAAAAGCCAGCAGATTAAAAGGAGAACACGTCTGCTCTGTGTTTCAATAATCCACTTTATCTCATCTGAATGAACGTTTTACTTTGGACTGTTTGTTAGAAGCAGTTGAAGATGCAGCTCTATTTGGCCTCATTTTGGGAGCGCTGGTACCCTGAAGGCTGATTTGCGCTGATTTAGCCACTGCAGACTGACCTAGCCTATTTCTTGTTCCTTTACTGCAACATAATTGCCTTTTCATTGTATTAACTGTAGGGCACAGCACTAATCTAACTCATAATTGAGTGTACAGTTGTCTCCTGCCAATTCAGAGCTGTGCTGCACACAGCATATCAGCGTGTGTGTGTGTGTGTGTGTGTGTGTGTGTCTGTCTGTGTGTGACTCACCTCCCATGAGGAAGAGGAGGCCGGCCACATACTGCATGAGGCCTCTGTCCCAGCAGCAGCCGAGCACGCCAATGATCCATCCAAACAGGATGATGGCCACCGCCATGCCCATGAAACCTGCCGTCATTCGCCGCAAGTCTGAGGAAACACAAAAGGAGAAATGCTCACTAGAATAACAAGTCAACACTGACCTGAGCAGGATACTTCAGCTGTGAAAACAGAAGACATGACACACACAGCTTTTTACACTTCCTGCCAGCAGAAATACAACAGAACATCCCCTCCAGGCCATGAAGACCAGCAATGAGAGTCACGCTGGTCTAGTTCTAATGAGAGTTCTACAGAATGCATTTTGACACTTTCAACTGACACAAAACCAGCTACACACATCCCGCTTTTCTAGTCTTCCGACTACTCAAAGCACTTTAACACTACATGTCATAGTTCATTAATTCACACCCATTCACACACTGATGACAGGGCTACCATGCAAGGTGCCACACCTGCCCATCAACAACAGAACACACATACCCATTCATACACCACAAGAACAGCCTGCGGGAGCAATTTGGGGTTAATTGTTTTGCCCAAGGACACATCGGCATGGACTAGCGGAGCCGGGGATCGAAGGACGACCCTGCCCTCCCACTGAGCCACTGTCCTTACAAGTCAGAAAGAATCTGTTCTTTCTTTCTTTCAATCTTTTTATTTTCAGTTTACACAGGTTACGTGCGACATGAGACTCACAAACAGAACAGCACGCAACATACCTGCCAACCACACAAACAACCAATCCCGGACACAAAAATACAAACAACAAAACAAAACATAGATCATCATCCTTCTACTAGATACCAATGAACATTGTGAACCTAGCTCCCTGGGCGTCCCCCGGAACCCACAGTTACAAAAACCTCCCTCCTACACACATGCACTTTTCAGCCCACACATTTTATGTGCCAAATATTGTCCTCCACATGAATTACATACAACATGGCGGCCGACCATTCAGACAGTCGCACACAGTGACGAACAGAATATTGTGGACCTTCTTCCTTCACCGAGTCACTTGGATCCCACGGTTGCAAAACCTCTCAGTATGATTTCAGCATATTCCTCTCCAATAAAATCCATAACAGGGTTCCAAACAGAAGAACCCATCTGTCTCCTTGGAGAACATGTGTGAGCCTCTCCAGTGGGATTAACTGTAGAACATTATAGAGCCCTGCAAGTAAAGTTGGTAACTATAACTTTATTAGTTAAAAGACCAGAGATGTGTAGTCGGGTTTCTGTTTGATAAAGCAACAGTTGTTGTATTTTACTGCGGTGCTGAGGATCTGCCTTGCTTTGGGTGTTTCCTTTTCCTTATTGTTTAACTGACAATTCAATTCAATTTCAATTGAATTTATTGTTCTATAGCCCAAAATCACACATCACAAATTTGCCTCAGAGGGCTTTACAATCTGTACACATATGACATCCTCTGTCCCAGGACCCTCACATCAAAACAGGAAGAACTCCCCCCAAAAAAAACCTTAATGGGGAGAGACCTTAGAGAGAGCAACAGAGGAGGATCCTCTCTCAGGATGGACAGAAGTGTGATAGATGTCATGTGTACAGAATGAACAACATAACAGAGTTACTACACATTCAATGCATATGATACGTACACATACTCATACACACATATAGCTTGTGCTGTTTTGCTCATCTCAGACGCACGTGGTGTGTAAGCGCAGCCTCTATTGTGTGCCTCATTACTCCATTAAACACCGCATTTTTTGTAGTTTCGTGTAGCGTAAGCACATACAAGACTACATCCGCCATTTTTGTAGTTTTCTCTCACCTCCGCCGTTTTTGTAGTCTCGCGTGGCGAAATCACTTATGAGTTCGCGGCCACCATTTTTCTTTTGCTCTCGCTTCTTCCCCCTTACACACACACACACACACACCATTGTTGATTCGACATAGTAGACTTGTAATTGTATTGTAGTTAGTTTAAATTATTATTGATTTGATCAGTATTGTTATTGTAAATAGAGCAGTGTTCTGTATTACTTTGTGCATGTGTATTGTGATAGTAGCTGGACATGTGGCCTGTGCTCTCTGAATGTGGAATAGTACTTTGACTATTGACATTTAGACTTCATTTATTTTGGTTATTGGTCCCTGTTCTCAGGGTGGTGCCCGTTATTAATATTTGTTGTTAATCTTGAACTTGATATTAATATTAATAATTGTATTAATGTCACTAATTTCATTTTCATACTTGCTGATTACCAAACACGCCCCCAGATCCCACCATCACAGATTGACTCAGGAATGTGAATCAGTCTCTATGCAAGAGATCTATTGAAAACAAACATCATTTTACAAAACTAAAGTTAACACAAATGAACAACGGGGTTACTGCCAAATTATGCAAAGTACATTTTTGTCACTTGGGGTACATAACTGTACTGTTGAAGGTATAAATAGAATGGGCGGTAGGGTACAGTGAATCAAGGTGAAAAAAATGATACTGTTGTGTACCAAAAGCTCTTTTACTGTGAAACTGCTCAGCCATGAGACTTTGGCATATACTGCACTAAACTCATTTCTAAGACAAATTTCCCCTTGGGGATGAATAAAGTGTATATATCTAATCTATCTAACCTAATCTAATCTAAACAAACCACAGCAGTTGTGCCGAGACACTCTAGTTTAGGAGCCTTGAGTGTCCATCGAAGGCTGCCCTACAGTGGCAACATCACTAACAGTCAAATGGAAAGACAGGTTCAGTCTGACATTCTGTATGCAAACTCGGTATCACTCCTCCGGTTTATGGTTGCCTGAGCATTGTCAGGTTTGATGTGGATACGTCACTGAGAGGGATCGGTTCAAACCTTGCTGCACAGTTTGATGCATGTCTGCATCTGTCAGCCTGTCTGTCTTGGTCTATGGATCCTAGATAGCAGTCAGAATTCAGACAGGGCACACAGGCCTGTGTGTTGGCTGGAGCTAGGAGCTGTCATGTGTCATCTATGTCTCCGCATTCAACTGTACTTCATCCCCCCCTCCCTGGACCTTTGGAAAGCATGGGAGATGGATCTACCCTCGTCTAACTATTATGCTCACATTCTGTGTGGAGAGAATATAGGATAAGAAGTAGAGCATCAGTCTGTCAAAACTATTGGTGTACTGTTCATATTAATAATGTCATTTTTTTGCATTAGATGATGAAATTAATGGAAACTTCGGGAATTCGAGGGGGGAAAAAAGTTTGAAAAAAAGGGATATCTTTTCTGCAAAATCTCACAAAACAGCAGTAGCTGGAAACTATAGATTCATTAATATGTCTAAATATGAAAAGTATTGAATTATGTTACTATTCTTACTCACTTCAAATCCATACTCTACTAACCACGGTGGCGTTGTCAAAGCAAGAAATGAATACCTGCGCTTAGTGTGTTTCACTGATGTTGCAGCCAGTACCTTTTTAAAAAGTAATTCTCCTCCTCCTCTCCGCACTTATTGAAAACACTAATAACGGTACCCCCAGCAAAAACCTACAACTGTTTAATCCATGCTGTACTTTATAACCATGGTGTCTGAGTCAAAGCAAGCGATTTATATGCCTATTTGGAGATGACCTCTAAGTGTATTTCACCAATGACTGTTCAATTGTATTAGTATAGTGTATAACCTCCAATGTCAGAAATCACACATTTTCCTCAGAGAGCAATCTGTACAACATATGACATATTCTGTCCTTGGACAAGTTTTAAGTTAGTTTGGTTCGTTGATTGAAAGTTTATAAATATAGAATGTGTCCATGGAGTCCCCGGTATACACCAACCAAGTGCACATACAGAGCATTCTGTGCTTTAGTTAGATATTCTCTTAGCGTGTTTGTCCACGGCTGTATACTTTGTGTAAGTATATTGAAAGTTACTGAGAACCAACTGTGTCAGTATACTTAGCCAACAAAGAGGATTCTGTTGGACAACAATCAATCCAACCTTAAGAGGACAAAATGTCATGGCAATCCATCCAACGGTTGAAAAAATCTTTCACTTTAATCAAACAACTACAACTGGAAGAAATGACATTCAAAGTGACGACAGCCAGCAAGGACTTCCACCCAGAGATACTCTATTTCATGATTGTATGAGGGCTTTACCAAATAGCTCAAAGTTTCTTTTTTTTGCATAACTTATCATTTTGTTAATTTTGTATTTCTGCACAGTGGTGCCTACTTTCCAACTTGTGTGATCCGAACATTTCCAATAACTCCAAAGGTCAACATTTATTCGCTCTATGTCAGCTGGAATCGACTCGAGCCCCCCGCAACCCTGAATAAGATAAGCAATAACATGATGGATGGAATTAAAAAACATTTTTGCACAATTATGGTTTTTATCTAATGACATACTTCAAAATACACATGTCCCTTACAGGCCACCATTCATTTTGCCAGAGATTCGTCGTAGCATCTTGGTTACTATTCGTAAAAGACAAGCTGTCGTTGATCTTCTGTTGCAATAAAGGTACCAGACTTGTTGCCGTTCTGTGGGACAAGCAAGAGAAACAGCGGAACTAAATGAGTGAAATAATGAAATGTTCAGCAGACCAATAAACATCCTGACTGTACAAATGGGAAAGACACGAATGGTTGGAGAAAAAGCGGCACAGATGATCAGAACAACCTCTGTCTTCAAAGACAGAATCGGACATTAAACCCTCCTGATTGCTGATGCTGCACTGTGAGTAACTGCTCATTTGTCTACTGGAGCATATGAATGTTTGCAGTCTGTCTGCTTTTTTCTCATTGTTCTGCTCTGTGCTGCAATTCCCTTTTATTACGTTCTGTACTCCAACTAAACGTTATTTCACAAATGGAAAATGGCAGTTGGTGCCTGTGAGGAATTGTTATTTTCTCAGTCGGAGAGATGGGGATCAAAATGTCCTGTCTGTAACAGATCAAAGATTGCCTTGAATACTCCTGCACACTGATAACACGAAACAGGAGTGCAGTGTTGGAAATGTGAACAGTTGTAGTGATTCTTTAATCTCTGACTTGGAGCAATTGACTTTTTGTTGCACCCACATCTGTTTCATTCACTCCAACTTTAATTAGTGAGTCAAATTCTTACTTT